TTTTTAAATTGAGAACTTTCATTTTATTTTGTTACTCGAAGAATTCCCTGACCGAATAATTGCCATTCCAAACTATCATGCAGTACATCTTTGGTACGGTGTAATTCCGGAAAAAATGTCGCTCTACGGAAGCATGCTGATCATTGCGCTCCTTCATCAAACAATCTCTCGTTCTGCCTCTTCACCGGCAATTCTTCTGACCGGAAATGGCTAACATTCAACTGAGTATCAGAATTGTTGTTATTATCAATAACCTGAAAGATGTTTTATCGATCAGACAGTAGCACGGAAAATGAGAAATGAAACTTAACTAGCGGAAATGATGAAAAATCTATGAATGATATGCTTACTTTGCCGAAAAAGTTCCCACCTGTTGTAGTGCACTTTCAGCAGAATGGTTGAAGTGAACGATTAAAATCCTCCAATAATCGATTGCTAAATATCAGATTACATCAAGCAAACAAATTGGTAACTCTAAATTTCAATCACTTAAAATCCAAAAACCATCATGAAATATCGAATCATATCGATAATATTCTTGTAATTTTGATTCTTTAGCTATCACTTCTTTAAGGTTCACAAATAATTGAAAGAGATTAGCAATCTTGTGTTGTCAATTTCAAATTTGCTAGCCCTTTTAAATTCATTGATTGCATTTTCAATAACACATCTATTCTCAGGTAAAATTTCTCTTCAGAAACTTCTCTGTAGAATAGATCAAATTATCTTAATACTTCAATAAATTCCTTACATTCTTCAGCTCCTTCATACCATTTCACTTAACTTCATCATCGGATAAATCAGCTGAACCTGAACATTAACTGAATACTTTCGCAGAATCGTCGACTATCCCATTTGCGTTTTTGTCGAATGTCATTGAATTTCACGAATAGGTGTTATCAATAGAATGATAACCTTTCATCACTCTAAAGCTTCTATCATTCTTTTTTAAAGTTTGCTGTTCATAATGGTGAAGATTATATTCCTGTTAATGTTAATGATGGAAATATGATAGGTTACAAATGTGAATTGTCACCTATTCCTGAATTTATTGACATAGTGGTGATAAGAAAAACGGTAAAAAGTTAGTGTTGCAGAGTTTTAAAATCAACTCTTTGTAAATTGAACTTGGTTGCCAGTTAGCATAAGTTTCTTTTGCTATAATGCAATTGACATTTTATGAAAAGAAACAGCTATAACAATGGATTTAGACGATTAAATTGAAATTTTGAAATTGAAAATCCATTGTTTTGCATCTTCAAGCGTTATATTATCACGTTATCACAGTTATCATCCCGAATTGTTATCACAATCACAATTATCACCCAGAATTGTTATCATCAAATGTTATCACAATTATCATTCCGAATTTTGAATAAACTACCAT